CCCCCTATAACACTGTTGATAATTCCGTTTTATATGAATTCCATGTTGTATGAGTCACTTAGATTTTACAAATATGTGAGCCGTTCACAACCTGGCACATATATTTGTAAAATCTAAGTGACTTGTACAACATGGAATTCATATAAAACGGAATTATCAACAGTGTTATAGGGGGATCGACTTGTACTTCATTATAATCTTATTCATACTTATCTTGAATACGTATTTCTTAATTTATATTTTCAATTTTTATATAAATTAGTGGTAAATCCTCTTCTAATTAGTTTAGTAAAATAAACAATAAAATTTCTATAGTATACATTTATTATTATTATTATTATTATAAAGTATCAGACCTTTTTAACGTGACTTGATGATAATATGGGCAATTTCGTTCCGTTAAATTACAAGAGAAGCAACACCCAAAAAACATGTATTAAAAATGAAGCAATTAATCATCAGAAGAAATGATTATGCCTCATAAAATATTTACTCTTAAATAGAAATGGAAGAAAAACAAAAGACTCGTTTAATGCTAATAATGAAGATCGTTAAGGATGATAACATTGCATATAGAACCATTTTATTATATAGTTATATTAAATTATAGTAGTTTATATAATCATTTTGGGTTGAAATTTACATAGAGGGTGGCCCAAAAGTTAGTTAACTGTATAGGCTTATTCATATTTAAAAATCTATTTAGTTAATATAAATTTATGGCTAATTTAATGAGGTAAATTAGTAATTGAATCTTAGGTGTTGTTGGAGTCTAACATTAAACGGAAAAATAGGGTGAGTTAAGAATTTTCCTATAGCAAAACGTAGCGACCATTTTGTTTGATAAAACAATTGATTCGACTCTTTAAGAGGGTAGTAAAACGATATAGTTGATGTGATTAATGGAGAATCACCGTCTTCATCACGCTAGGGTGTAGTTTGGTCAGAGGGGCGTCGTCCGTCTATTTTTTGGGAGATAACAAAGTCAGCTGCCACCAATTATTCGCCTGCGGAACAATTTGTACGTAGTAATAACCGTTGTATTTACTCGTCTTTTAATTATTCAAATTTTCAGAAACGCCTAAATTTGCCTTCAATATTTTATTCGGGAGAAGTTTTCTCCAGAGATTTTCTCGTTTGTATTGGGTAGCCAATCAGACTTCATTTGATTGCAGCTCCTCCCAACAAAGTTCTTTTCTTCCATAAAGTTTAAGTAGGCACAAGTGCATCGTTATTATTGATTGGCTTCTCTGATAATAAAAATTAGTAAAGGGGGTGAAAAAAAAAGAATAAGAAAATTAAATATTCCTCATCGATTCGATGATGATGACGGGTGATGATTTGTTATCATCTATCTTCGTTCTATATATTTAAAACACTCGTCGGTTCAACAGCATTCAAAGACTGTAAGGATTCGAGAGACTACAAAGGCTGTAAGGAGTGAAAAAATTTAAAGAATAAGGGTTTAAAATTCAAGACAGTAAGAATTAAAAGAGACTAGATACAATGCTGTAAGGATAGAAGAGACACAGGGACTGTATAACCTGAAGATTCAAAGAATGTGAGGATTCAGAATGCAGTTTTATAACTTAATTAGCCTTATATACAAATTGAAAAAAAAATAACAAAAAATAAACGAAGTTTTATAAGCTTTCATAATTCAGTACGTTTTACTCATAAATAAATGCAGAAAGAAGTTCAATCCCTACAAATCTTAAAGGTCGTATAATTCAAAATGCCATTTATTTAAGTTTAATTAAAACTATTAAACCTGGGGGTAATTTTAGAAGAAGAAGAAAAAGAAGAAGAAGGAAAAAAAAGTATTTTTAATGGAGACTCGCTATTCGTTAAGAAAGAAGTGATGAAGGAACGTCACTCTAATGTAATTGGCCAACTAAGGTTCTTTTCATCAGAGAGCTGCAAATCCCTTCTCCTCTCCCTCTTTGCATGAAACATCGTCTCATTAGGACGAACAAATAATAGAATTAAAGTTTTTTTTTTTCCTTATTCTTCTTCTTCTTTCTCTCATCTTTTTCTCGTTTCTTCAAAAGAGAATAAATTAAGAACTTTTTCGTCTTGCTAGAAATGAAACGACCTTTCTAGCTTGCAGCACTTTCTACTAAATAAAGTCTTTAGATTATTATATTTTCTCTTTAAATTATTATTATTATTTACTATTATTATATTTTTGTATAGTAAAATCTCTGTTAAATTGAAAAAGAAAAATTTAATTTTGATTATTTTAATTTAAGGATCAAAGAAGAGGAGCAATTAACGTTTTTCTTCTTCCCACAGAATTAATTTAGTTATTATTACTATTATTATTATTATTATTTATTTCGCTTTAATTATAATTACTGAAAATTAAAGTAATTCAATTATTATTTATCACATAATAAATATCATTTTAAAACTTTTAATACTTAGTGCTAATTTTGGAGAGTAATATTAATTCTTAATTCTATTCGTTTCGTAAGTTTTTAATTAAAAAAATGCATCTTTTGTTGATTAAATCACATTTTTTTTAGGATAAAATCTTGATTTTTTCCTATAGAAATTAATTATTTTAAAGCCAAAATGATGACATTAAAATAGGAGAAATATTTCCTATTTCTCTATTCCTATATTTATGTTTTCTATAGGAAGAGTTAAATATTATCATTGAATGTTTTTCTATCTTTTACTCAATAATAATGTTTAATGTTTCCTAAATATAATGTTTTCCTACGTTTTCTTATTACAATTACTGTATAATGTTTTCATAGAAACATAAGTTAATAGTGTTCCTAGGTAAATATTATATAATAATTTTTCTAAGAAATACCTTAGACAATACATAATAATAATATTTTCCTACTTTATATAATAAGAAAACCTTTATATAATATCGAATTAATTAATAATATATCAAATAAGTTTCTAAAATAATTTTCACTTTAATAAATAGTTTAACTTAAATTAAGCTTTTAATCGATTTATTCTCTTTGCAAAATGGTGTAATACTTTAGAAATAAACACATTAAACATATATACTGTGTATATATAGGCTTATATATAAAGGGAATGAGAGGATAGAATGACGTAGACTGTTTTAAAGGCAGAGTGAGAGAGAATTTTCCACTTAATTCAGCAAAACAGCATTAAGGTGCAAAACTGTGCAGTTTTACTTTTGCTCGGTGTCCTTCTGCCTGGTTGGAGAAATGCATTAACATTAAACGTCAGCTCGATCTTGGCAACACTTCGTCAAATCAGACAACTTATTTGGCAAAGCAGCGATGCGTTGATCGAGATGGGAACGTTTTCGATCGATAACAGCCGCTGCAAATATTACCTTCCTTCTAATTACGCTTTTGTGTTATTATATCTATCTCATTAATTCTTAACTTTTCCTCATCCTCCTCCTCCTCTTCCTCCTCCTATAATTCTGGATAAATTTTCGATTTTACATAACTACGTAAGTCTCTTTTGTAACTCAAATTGTTTCGGTATTTTCCATTTTCTATCTAACGTTAAAGTTTCCATTTAAACTTATACAGTACTGAACATCAAACTGTAAATATAAATTAAGTATTATCATGCGTAAAATATCTATTTAAAAAAAAAATTGTCTTAAGCTATAAAGTATAAATTCGTTTAAGAATTAAAGTGTGTAAATTAATTTATTACGTAATTTTTAAAAAATGTATCGATAAAAATAAATATGAAAATACTGTTTTTGAATGTAAATTTATACATATTTTCGAATAAAAATCTTATTTATTTATTTATAGGCCTATATAAATTGAATTAATCTTCGTTTAGGATGCTAGTCTAATCATTATTACTGCTATGTCTATTATAGAAATTATAAACATCTATTAAAAGGCTTCTAATCTCTGGAGGTCCATTGTAAGATCACGAGCCTCCAGAGATAATAGTGACAATCCTCTTGGCTGTCTTTACAGTGGATTCGTACCAGTCCTCTCCCTCTTCACCTATAACTACTGAATACTTTCATCATAGTCCTCCCTATTCTCCCATAGACTCTGACTATATAGTCCTTCGATACCGAGTATCCTCCTCCCTTTTTTTACATAAGAATGGCCATATAGTTTACTACATTATTAAAGAGAATTAAATTTTCAATAAAACCTTTGATAATAATACTAAAAATTAGAAATCTATTCCCAATTTATGAACAAAAGAACAATAAAGAATTTAAAATATTCATGGAAGAAAATGAGAAAAATATTTTATATAATTTTAAAATATTTAATCGTTTCGAATTTAAAATATAAAAACGTCAAGATAATTTCTTTTAATCTTTATTGATTAGAAACATTCATTAATTTGAAATTAATTTAAAAAACAGTTCAAATGGTTTTAAGTAAACCTTTTAATCGGCTTAGAAAAGTCTTTTGAAGTAAAAGGTAATTAGCAAATTTTAGATCATTTTAATTGATACAAATACGGAAATTGAAGAAAAATTAATTAACTGGGTGAATGATCAGTCAGAATTTATATTTATTTAGTCATTTACAGTTTAAATTTATATATATTTAAACACCGAATACTCGAAGAAGGTTAGTAATGAAATGTAACCTATATAAGACAAGGCCTTCAAGATATTACACATCATACGAGGTCTATTACAGTTATATCTTATAGGCCCTACCCATTAGGGCCATTTAATTTGATGGCTGACGATTGCGAGTCCTTAACAAAAAACCTTAGTTTTTCTCCCCTCGATGTTTTGTATTTTTAATACACGGGAGCTTTCGAAAAGTACGTTATGTCGTTTTCTTTTAATCTATAAGAGGTCCCTCATATAATTTAAATAATATAGAAGCTTTTAGTAAAATTAAATGGGACCATCTATCTTCTATATTCCTTGTATGATGTTTTAAAATTGGAAGTTATTCTGACACCGTAGGATCGATCAGTTCGCTATTATAAGGATCGTCTTCGGTTTACTTCGAATTTTTATGCCAATTATAGTTCATATAAAAGGAATAAAAAAAAGAAAACTGGAATAAAAATTGGTGGCAGAAGAGTCAATCGAATAACAGATGGTTAGCGACTTCATTTCCATAATATAATAGCTGGTGCGGATATTGAAACCACTCTCATAACTCCATTAAAAGAAAGAAATAAATCTAATTAATTTATCGTTCGAATTTTCTTCTTCTTTTTTTTTTAAAAAAAAGAAATAAATAAATAAATTAAGGGTAAATTCTTTATTTTCATTCATATTTAATCAAGCGGAAAAAGAAATATCAAACACAAATTCCTTCTTCATCATGCGGTTTGGGAAGTCAAATAGACGTTCGGAAAACCGAAAATCCCGTCAAGGTTGTAACGTATCTATCAAAAGCAGTAAATATTTTGGTAGAGTCACCAGCTGCCGTCCCCATTGGAGGTCACTCGAGTGGAAAAAAAGCTCGCGTGTCAGCAATTAGAAAGTTGGTAAGCAGAGAATGGAAGCCACCATGGTTTCCCCCGAAGAGCCCATCTGGCCCCAAGTGGGCCACTGGCTAATGGACGACGACATCACCGATCCCTCGAGCGCCCTTCCCTCCTAGTCTTGTTAATAATCCACATTAACTATCGAAACACATAAGGCACATATGATTAATGCTTTTAATACTTTCTTTCCACTTAAATCTTCTTCTATTTGACAATTTTACAGTATTTAAAACTATATTTTTTTATATTATAAACACGAAATATTTTAATTTTATTGAATTTTAAACTCGTTTCTGACCCTATATATATATATTTTTTATTAAGCCATTGAATCTCTTTGATATAACTCGGGATTTTGTGTGCCATTTTAATCTATAATACGCGCTCCGGCTTAGATTTCATCAAACTTGGGAATGGATTTTTTGACGTCACACACTAAATTCTATCCTTTTCTACTGGTTTAATATAATACAGTTACAACACAGCATTGACTATTCAATTTTAATCGAAAATTTTTTGACATTAAATTAAAATTATTCTTTCGATTATTCATTGTTTTCTCAATTGTAAAAACTTCTTTTAATATCGTTACATATTCATTAATTTAAATCTGTTTAATTTTAAATTATTTTACGATCTACATATTAAATGTTCCTAATTAGATATTTAAAATTTTAATTATCTTCTTCCTCTTTTATTTTTATTTTAAAATTTCCAAATTTTCTAGAATATATTAAAGAGCGCGGGTTATACATAATTTTAATTTATATTTTCTACAATTTATCGAATGATTATAATTAAAAAGAATATATTTAAATAATTATTTAAGTCAAAAATATATAAAATAATACTCTATAATGTGTTTGAATCGAAGTACAGTACAGTACTATCGGCCTATACAGGCCTATAATATTGTTCAATTGTAGGTCCTATATGTATTATATAATGCATATATACTTGTAGAATCCTAAATTTAAAATAGGAAACTTTTGTGTGAAGATTCTTCTCGAAATAAAAAGGAATTTCGTACGAAGAAACGTCTTAACTCGCTCAAAGAAGGCCGTAACGAACTAGTTCTTAAAAGGCCATAATATCACCTTCTATGAACTATTAAGAATTAATAGACAATTTAGAGAATGTATTAATAACACTAACAAGTAAATTGAATCTTAAACAAGATACAAAATGGCACAGGATAGAGAGTAACGAGTAGTACAATTAATCTTAATGCAACTTATTATAATCTGCTAAGAGTTAAGCAAACAATTAAAGAGATGTATACAATAGCCTCAACATACTACTTTTACATTAACGAAACAGGAGCAATAATGATAGGAGATGAACGTCAAGAGGAAGATTCTTTTTCCTTAAGCACCTTCATCTTCAATAGAAGATCCATGCCACAGTCGGATTTGCATAGAAGCTAAATAAGATATAGCTTTATGTTTTTAAGCATTATTATTTGGCGAAAGGTTTCTTTTATCTTATTATTTAAGTCTATAATATATGTCTAAATCCATATCTATAAATGATTTTTAGTGTTTTACGTGATATTAATTTAATTTCTGTGTTTTTTGTAAGAGAATTTTTAATTAAGCGATTCATTCTAGGCCTAAAATATCTTTCTATAATTATCCTTAAAGTTCAGAATTGATATTGTTCAATCAAAATAATAATAAAAAAAAGAAATATTAATAAGAAATATCAGAATTAAACAGGCCTAAGTTATTAATTTGCATTCTATTCCTCCTCCTCTTTCTTCTTTTCCTCCTCCTCATCATTCACATCATTGGACTACCAGAAGAAGATTTTATCTATTCACAAATTTACTTTTATACTTACATTAACTATATGAATCTATATAAATTAAAATAAATGCTTTTTAATCCCGTAATTTCTTATAAAACTGCTAATTAATAATAAACTAATTAAGGATTAAACATAAGAAATACAAGATAATTTGTGTTAAGTTTATAAGGATTTTCCCTAAAAAAAATGTAAAATTAATAAAATATAATTTCGTATATCTAATAAATATGGATAGATATTAAATGTAGTACGCATATTTAGAATATAGGGCCTTATATTTATTAGGATTAATTTATTATTATTATTATAATTCTTTTATATTTGAAGTCTCTTAATCCTCTTATATTTTTTTTCCTTAATAATAATTTAATAAAACCTCGATAAGAGACCTCAAATATTTATGATCAGATTCATTTATAATGAAATTATTAAAGATTAATACATAATTTCTTTAAATTCTCTCATTTATATAGGTTTAAAATGCATTAACACAACTATATTGTTTAAAATTCGGTTATAAATTACTATTTCTTTTAAATTTCAAGCTTAATAGTTTACAAATTAATAATTATAGAAAGGAAAATGGCGAAAATACGCTTTTTATTTACACACACACACACAAAAAAAAACAGTTTTTGCTTCTCGTAAAATGATAAAATCAACTAATTCTGCTATTTCTAAGAGCAAATTATGAAGCAGGAGGCATTCTAAATCAAGTATTTATTGGCAGGGGGCAGATCTCTAGACGCAGAGAGAAGTTACAACCTCATCCAGATGCAGGAAGATGTTGGACAAAGGAAGAGCAAGAGCAAGAGCGAGAGAGGAGAAAGAGAGAGAGAGAAGAAAGAGAGAGAGAGAGAGGGGCCAAGGCCCACCTCTCTCTTTAACCAAAATCGAACTAATCAAAAATTCACTTGACAGCATAAATATTTGGAAAAATCCCGAATCGTCTTTAGAATAACGTAATAAAAAGGATTTTTATTAAAGTAACTTTGTTTGTATTTCTAACATGTTTATGCGTCAATAAAGAAAGAGAGAGAGAGAAAAAAAAATCCAATCTGTACACACGTATTGGCTTAAAGGTAGAACTATTATGAATAGAGAGGGTCAAACAGCGAATGGAATAGAGAAGTAAAGGCTCTATACCGAAGACCAAATTGAATTAATTTATGAAGTGAAGACAAATAAACGAGGAGCTGTTTACAATATTAGCTTGACGAGTCCAAAATTAATCGTGATTTAATACATCGGCGCAGATCCCTTGAGGGCGACCGATGCATTCAAGCTGTCCCTTTTATTAAGGAAATTAGGCTAATTGAAGGGATGTCTAGAAACTCAATGATTTCTTTATTAAATTAATATGTGATGTTGACATTAAGAGGAATCAAAGTTGCGTCAATTAGATGCTCCTCTTTTTCCTCTCTTTCTCTCTCTCTCCTTTCGTTGTCCCGATGATGCGAATGATAATTTTATAGAAGCTATTTTCCTATATAATTGAGGAATACATTACAACTTATCGATCTGACAGAAATGATTTTTTCTTCTTCTTCTTCTTCTTCCTTAAATTACTTTGTGGAAAATTCGATAAAATGCTCGGTTTTCTTAGCAAACTTTCCTTCTCCTTTCTATGCTTTTTTTTTTTTTTTAAATGGAAAAATCGTGCGTATTTTCTTATAAAAATACAATAAAACTATGTAATTCTAATGTCATTAGAATTACATAATTAATTATTATATACAAATATATCGAAAAATAGAAGTTAACAGATTATCAAGTACAGTACTTCTACTATAAATTACTAGACGATTATCTATTTATTTGAATTTCTACAGTAGTAAATTAAATTTAAACATCAATTCAAATTAAATAGTATTTAATTAAATTAAATTTTTCTAATTTATAAAACAAAAAACAAAAAATAACTACCATAATTACATTTAAAGTAATTTAACACGATAGAGAAACAAGTATTAATTAAGCAAAAAATTTTTGAATTCTCTAAAGATTATTAAAATAAAATGATGAATTATTTTTTTTTTTTGAGCATTTGTAATAATTAAATATTATATTTTTACGCCGAATTGACTAAAAAAATGCTACTTTTTTATCACTAAAATTCAAAAATTTATCCCATTCTAATGAGTGATAATTAAGATCATATAAAACACTTGTTTGTTTTTTTTTTTTAACCTGAATTTTTGTATGGTTCTTCTAAAAATACAATTAAATATATTTAAAAAAATCATAATAAAATTGATGCATCTGTTGAATCTTAACATTTAAAACTTACCAGAAATTCTCTTCCAAGTTCTCCCAAATATCCGAAGTATTGCAGTGAAGTGTTATTGGCAGGGGACTTCTCTACTACATCTTTATCGAAAAACGTAATTACATAAATTAATTTTCGACGTATTGCTGAAAGAAAGGTAAAAAATTGAATCCTCACAAGTACTTTTCATGCATAATTTATAAAGCAGAAGGAGAAAACGATTTTCGTATTTTTAGTTTTCTTGATAGCTCTTCTTCATCAAATTTCATCTTGATAATCTTATAAAAACAGACAAGCATACAATCCCCAAGTTGAAATATTAAAAAAAAAATTTATCTGTCGAGTATAAAATATAATTTTTTTTTTATTATCTTAATGGCGGAGATTTCTATAGGAAAAAGTAGCTATTATCTAAACACTTTANAAAAAAAAACAGTTTTTGCTTCTCGTAAAATGATAAAATCAACTAATTCTGCTATTTCTAAGAGCAAATTATGAAGCAGGAGGCATTCTAAATCAAGTATTTATTGGCAGGGGGCAGATCTCTAGACGCAGAGAGAAGTTACAACCTCATCCAGATGCAGGAAGATGTTGGACAAAGGAAGAGCAAGAGCAAGAGCGAGAGAGGAGAAAGAGAGAGAGAGAAGAAAGAGAGAGAGAGAGAGGGGCCAAGGCCCACCTCTCTCTTTAACCAAAATCGAACTAATCAAAAATTCACTTGACAGCATAAATATTTGGAAAAATCCCGAATCGTCTTTAGAATAACGTAATAAAAAGGATTTTTATTAAAGTAACTTTGTTTGTATTTCTAACATGTTTATGCGTCAATAAAGAAAGAGAGAGAGAGAGAAAAAAAAAATCCAATCTGTACACACGTATTGGCTTAAAGGTAGAACTATTATGAATAGAGAGGGTCAAACAGCGAATGGAATAGAGAAGTAAAGGCTCTATACCGAAGACCAAATTGAATTAATTTATGAAGTGAAGACAAATAAACGAGGAGCTGTTTACAATATTAGCTTGACGAGTCCAAAATTAATCGTGATTTAATACATCGGCGCAGATCCCTTGAGGGCGACCGATGCATTCAAGCTGTCCCTTTTATTAAGGAAATTAGGCTAATTGAAGGGATGTCTAGAAACTCAATGATTTCTTTATTAAATTAATATGTGATGTTGACATTAAGAGGAATCAAAGTTGCGTCAATTAGATGCTCCTCTTTTTCCTCTCTTTCTCTCTCTCTCCTTTCGTTGTCCCGATGATGCGAATGATAATTTTATAGAAGCTATTTTCCTATATAATTGAGGAATACATTACAACTTATCGATCTGACAGAAATGATTTTTTCTTCTTCTTCTTCTTCTTCCTTAAATTACTTTGTGGAAAATTCGATAAAATGCTCGGTTTTCTTAGCAAACTTTCCTTCTCCTTTCTATGCTTTTTTTTTTTTTTTAAATGGAAAAATCGTGCGTATTTTCTTATAAAAATACAATAAAACTATGTAATTCTAATGTCATTAGAATTACATAATTAATTATTATATACAAATATATCGAAAAATAGAAGTTAACAGATTATCAAGTACAGTACTTCTACTATAAATTACTAGACGATTATCTATTTATTTGAATTTCTACAGTAGTAAATTAAATTTAAACATCAATTCAAATTAAATAGTATTTAATTAAATTAAATTTTTCTAATTTATAAAACAAAAAACAAAAAATAACTACCATAATTACATTTAAAGTAATTTAACACGATAGAGAAACAAGTATTAATTAAGCAAAAAATTTTTGAATTCTCTAAAGATTATTAAAATAAAATGATGAATTATTTTTTTTTTTTGAGCATTTGTAATAATTAAATATTATATTTTTACGCCGAATTGACTAAAAAAATGCTACTTTTTTATCACTAAAATTCAAAAATTTATCCCATTCTAATGAGTGATAATTAAGATCATATAAAACACTTGTTTGTTTTTTTTTTTTAACCTGAATTTTTGTATGGTTCTTCTAAAAATACAATTAAATATATTTAAAAAAATCATAATAAAATTGATGCATCTGTTGAATCTTAACATTTAAAACTTACCAGAAATTCTCTTCCAAGTTCTCCCAAATATCCGAAGTATTGCAGTGAAGTGTTATTGGCAGGGGACTTCTCTACTACATCTTTATCGAAAAACGTAATTACATAAATTAATTTTCGACGTATTGCTGAAAGAAAGGTAAAAAATTGAATCCTCACAAGTACTTTTCATGCATAATTTATAAAGCAGAAGGAGAAAACGATTTTCGTATTTTTAGTTTTCTTGATAGCTCTTCTTCATCAAATTTCATCTTGATAATCTTATAAAAACAGACAAGCATACAATCCCCAAGTTGAAATATTAAAAAAAAAAATTATCTGTCGAGTATAAAATATAATTTTTTTTTTATTATCTTAATGGCGGAGATTTCTATAGGAAAAAGTAGCTATTATCTAAACACTTTAACCCATTAAGAAAACGTTTAACTTGCATAATTTATGATAAATTATTAGAGGATGAAAAGAGGATTAAACTATGTTTATGTGAAAAAAATGCAATGTTAGATATTTAAATATTTATAAAAGACTGTATTTTAAGGGATTTATTTACTAAAACTTTTCGATTAAAGGCGATAATGTATGAAAAAGAAGAGCAAGATGAGAGACGAACTTGGAGAAGGATGCTAAAGGAGGATAAAGACGAATAAAAATAAGAAAAAATACGATTGTTTTTTATTATTATTATTATTTTTTAAATTTAAAATTAATAAAACTTTATACTAATGAATTAAACTTTATTATTTTCTAGTTTAACTTCACTCGAATTATCAATAAACAATGTTATACACGACAAGTCACTATACGAAACAAATAAAATCTAATATTGTTTTTGTTAATCTAATTTAATATATGTCGAATGATATTTTGTAAAGAATTTAATATGATTTAATTGAAATATATAAATAAATTTAATTATAAAGTAAATTAATTGTTAATTATTAAAATTAAAATAATAATAATAAAAAGAGAAAATTAATTCTCTTTGTTTCATATGATGATAATAATAATAATAATACTTTTCATAATTATCTTTTATATTATTATAATTAAATTTGAAAATTAAGTGTTAAATATTTATTTTAGAACAAATTTAAAGAAAATTTAAATTCATATTTAACAAATGATAATATAATATTTGATGTTTGTTTAATTATTTTCTCGTCTCGTTAGCATCTATTATGGGTTTAGACATTGTTCAAATTCCAATAGATCTCTACGGTAATGGTGATTAAATTATGTTTACTTTTTATTCTAATTAAATTAAATAGATGAGAAAATTATTATATTAAATTATTAAAAGATTAAATTGTTAACTATAATAATAATAATAATAATAATAATAATACTGATTTTAATTTAAAAAATAGGCAAGTTCTTTAATTCAATCATCAGATTAATCTTTCTTTATGATTGATTTCCTCTTTACTTTGTAGAATTATACGAAAATTCGTTTAAATCTAATTAAATTATTTTAAAATTCTATAATGTGTAATTATAGAAAAGTATTTTCTTTAATAAAGATCTTTCCTGAATGCCTTTTTCTCTGTCGAGTTCTTGCGGGTGTTTAATGTGATTATACTTTTCCATAGACAAGGCCGTGGAAAATGATCACGTGTTATAAGATTAGGCCCCCCCCCGAGGCCCTCAATATCTAGCTTAAAGATTATCACGATTTTATTATAAAGATTCTAACTCGGGCCTTTATATACGCTGAGGATTATGGTTATATCCTCGGCTCTTCTCCTCATCGTTGGCCTTGTATATAGAGAAGTAAATATATATATATATATATGTTTAAAACACACAAGAGAAGTGATTAGAGCAAGGCTCACATAGTGTATTTATTACAATATGATCATGAGGTGTACCAAACAACATCATCGGTGTCACACACCAAGAAAAACAAACTTGTATATATACACTGCGTCGTCGCAAACAATCACTAGAAAATAAAGGATGAGGAAGAGATTTTCCACGTCACTTCCACGATAATCACGACGTTGTTTTTTATTTTTATTTTATTTTATTATATATATATATTTTTTTGTTTTTGATTCTCCTAGAAACACTCACCTACAGGCGAAGGTCATACGAGAGAGGGTAAAGGAGCTCGAACCGAATTCACCTGATTGGGATTAAAGGAGGGGTGATAATAGATGGGTGGATAAGGCGCAGTGGTGGAATCGCTGTTGTGAGCGGACCCACTATCGTGATAGATAATGGGTACGCGTACTAAGCGTTGAGTAGCAGCTGCGTGAGCCATATTTGCAGCTTCTAATTCGGCTGCCAATTGACGTTTCCATTTATTCCTACGATTTTGAAACCATATTTTCACTTGAGTTTCTGTCAAATGAAGGGATGCGGCTAAACCCGCTCTTTCTGAACTGGAAAGGTATCGTTTCATATCAAAGGTCGATTCTAATTGAAATACTTGACTTCTTGTAAACACAGTTCGAGTCTTTTTCTTCCTTCGACTCTTTTTGCTGTCTCTATTTCCATCTTCTGTTAGATCTTGTTCTCCTTCTCCAGAATCTGATCTCGGATGTCCTGATGGAGGAGAAGATACAGGAGAAGGTAACCTGTTAGCGATGTTAGTTTCTAGTCTATTGGAGATTGGAGATGTCGTTGTTGGACCTGAAACAACAAAACAAAAGTATAATAAATTAATTAATAAAATAATTAGCATCATCTCTTAATGAGGAGATAATTGATGATTGATAAAATTTTAATCCGTTAATAGAAAAGCCATTTCTTTTCTGTTAAGTATATTAACGATGGATGAAAATACAGAAATTGAAGCATCTTCCTGCTACTTTATTTTTTCCCCCGTGTGAAAACGTACTTAACAGTCATTTAAATGGAAACTTTTATGTATAAAATGTCATAAATTAACATCATTAATATTAATTAAGGAATTTAAAGATATTAATAAATATATTCTTCTTAGAAATGTTAAGGTATTCTAGAAATTTATCATTTAAAGCTATTAATCTTTAAGTTTTCATGGAGAATAAATTTGATAAAGTGAGAGAGAGAGAAAAACACACACACACACAGAGAGAGTGAGTGAATGAATTTGTTACAACTTTCACTTGATTATCAATTGTTACACTTTATTTGTTTAATTATAATCAAGCCTGAGGGGATTTATTTAATTTTTGGGAAAAAAATGTCCGCAGGAACAGTTTTAGTATTACCAAGGCATGAAAGGTTTTTAAATAAACGAAAATTTCTCTCCAAAGACGAAGGCAAGGAAAAAAAAAAAAGAGGAAGAAGAATTTGTTTGCTGAAAAAACAATATTAAATTTAACAAAAGAGACGAATATTATTCGTGTAAATAGCCCAATTGATAGGAATTGTTATGTACACAATTGCATTTGTCGCCCCACAGGATATCATTTATGTAACGAAACAATTTTCCACTTTTTGATTTCTATTGAATTAAAAAAAAAAACAATTCTTTTTTAATCCACTTTACTTTCTTTTCCGCAAATTAAATTCCTATAATTTTTTTTAAATCTTTGTTTTCTAATTAAAATGTTTAGATAATTGCCATTTTATAATTTATAACTTAATAAATAGGCTACATTATAAGGGGAGCAATTTAGCTCGTTTCTAACACTTACTGAAGCCTCAAAAACGTAAGTGATCAGGGATTCTCTCGACTCTCGAGAATCTCTGAATTTGAGATAGAGTTAATTATTTTACATAATACATCATCATTACAGATATTTAGCAGGTTATAAACTGTATCTATACGTTTTTCATTTATCTCTAGAGCTTGGCATTGATAACTCTTGCATCTTTCAAAGAAAGAGGGATTTTTTCCTCCTTTCTCTGAACCTTTCCTTTCAATAACCTGTCCCAAATTGGATGGGACAGGTTGTGAAAGGAACCGAAAACTGTTAGAAGGATGTGTAGAAGAATAAAGACAGAGAGAAAGAAGAAGCAGGAAAGGATATTAGATGATTTGATTGTTTATAACAAATAATCTATATAGATTCTCCTTAAGAATCTTTCCTTTTCCTTCTTCCTATAGTGATAGATAATTGATACGTGTGTAAATAAAACCTTATTATACTAATTATCTACAGATTTATAGCTGATAAATCTATATATGGATCTAATTCGGCATCCCAGCATCCCGGATGAAGATGATAATCCTCCATATATGTATTCTTACCGGCATTATAAACATTTCTAGAAAGTATTGAAGCTCATATGTACTGTACAGTAGTACTGTACATGTCTTTCTTTATTGTTATTCAGATACATACCTAGACATTTAGTAAAAAAAAAAATAAGAAAAATCAGAAAACAAAGTTAAAACCCATATTTATTGATTGAAATCACATATGGGTAGAGGAAGAAAGCCTAAGTTATTCCAAAATAATAGTCCGGACTAATTCCCAAGACGTTCATGTTTTACTCTTCTAAAAAATCACAAACTTTATATTTCCTTTTCAAACTGTGGTTAATGTACTTGGATATATTTTCTTCTTTATCTTCAACAAAAGATCCGTCTTTCAAATCCTGGCTTCGGATGGATGGACGTTCTCTTCTTCCTTTGATGTGGACTTAACTGTGTAAGTGTATCTCGGTTTGTATTCCTATTCCTGACATCATCTTGAGAATAAATCTTACTGTTAAGTTTAATACGATTTCTTCCCCCTTTCCAAACTGTTACGAAATGCCTTTCGATTTAAAAATCTTCTCTTCACAAGAAGAATTTATTAAATTTTCGGTTTATTTAAATGAAACTTTTGCTTTTCCTTCACCAATTCCTTTAGACGTATCGCTGTCTTTTTTTTTTCTAGAATTAATCATTCTTCATGTCTATGTTCCAGCATCATCTCCGCATCTTTCTTCCTACATCACTCTCTTCGTATGACTCATTCCAATTATTCAACGGTTACAACTTACAAATCATATTGTTTAAAATATGCTTATATAAATTTCGAGTAAGTGAATAACTTATTTAAATCATAATTTACATAATTTAATTCCTTACACTTCGAAGGATGAATTATAAAAGCATCTCTCTAAAGGGTGTTACGTACGCTTAAACATTATTAAATATTGCAAAATTTATATAGAATTTAAGCTTAATTTTATCTTTAAATTAAAATTATACATAAAATTCAGTCATTATTACTTGTTTTTTTAGGTGTAGGTTAAGTTTTATGTTGTATTTAGTAAACGTTTAAATATAGTTTCTCTCTCTCTCTCTCTGTGTGTGTGTGTGTGTGTGTGATTGCTGAATATAGTTAAACTGTTTAAACATCAGGTATTAGTTAAATAGATAATCTAAGCCATGAAAATCTCGGAAATGTTGTAGTTGATCCATATTACATATTCACATATGAACAGACTGGTGATATTTAATCATCTGCATTACTCTAAGATGCTTGTCACTATGGCAATCCTTGAAATAATTCTGTATTCCTCTAAAAAAATTAGAAGAATTCGTTTAATTTTTAAAAATTATTTAATACCTTGCTCTAAAATTCAATAATATAATTAAAGCTGCTTTAAAATAGTTTTTAAAAATCCTCAAATTTTCATTTTCTTTTAAACAAAGTAGCGACCAGATAGTAAAATACATTTAACGAAGGCGTTAGAGTATTTTCCTACCTTCTTATATAGAATTAAATATCTAATTACGTACTTAGTATAAAGTAGTACAATATATTAGTCATTTATAATCCAATTAGTGACGATATCTCATAATATAATTGCTTAAAGTAGGCCTAACCAGAATATATATATATATAGATGTAGTTCCTTAGGTTTAACGTTCCGTTAATTGAATACATCGCATAATTGGCTAGAAAATATAGAAAAAAATATATTTTAAAATTATAATTAAAGGGTAACTAAGGCGTAAAGAAGATCGAAGGGTACGAGAAATATCAACAATTGTCTTAAGAATACAAAATGCAGGCCTGTACGTAATGAAATGTATGTAAAAAATCATGTAAATTTACCTAAAATGCCATTGAATTTATCCAAGAAAATCAATTGTATAATCTATATAATATAAAACATAAAATATAAGACTAAACTGTATAATATAATACCGATTCTGTATAGGCTACGCTGTATCGGTGTGTTACACTATAAAACTTATACCCGGTCTTATATTTAGAACTGTATATATGTAAAATTGTATACATTAATATATATATATATATATATAGATATATCTCAGTATATTACATTATATAATTTATATAGAGTTTTAGTCTTAAACAATCTATTAGGTTATATATTATATTATATAGATTTTTCTGTAGTGTCAGTGTATTAAACAGTAGTGTAAGCAGGGAGGGACCATAAGCCACGAATCTGTCCCTCTTTCCTTCGTAAATAAAAAAAGAAAAATAAATAAATATAGAATATAAATTTTAATATGAGATACGCATGTATACGGGACCTTGGAGAACTTGTATGGGGCCCGAGATAGAGCGGGCCCCTTACAAGTTCTCCATTTTTTGTTGGTAAAAATAACATTAATTTATAGAAACATTAAGAGGCCCTAAGTTTTCTCCGGGCCCGAGGAAAATCTCAACTCCTCTCTCTCGACGGCCCTGCATATAGGCTATACAATATACTATTGTGCTGTACAGTACAGTACAGGAGAAATGTAGGTTTGCACGTTTGAATTCGGATCCCGTAATGCTACTGGTATTATATTATGTATATTTATATATAAAATTGAGTAAAATAGGCATAAATAGCAAAATTTCTACTAGAGAAAAGAGAAAATTACACCTCATTTTTCTATCATCACATAAATAGTATTTCAATTTACAGTACAATTTTACTGTTAATTTATATTTATAAATGATTTTAGAAACGTTTCTTATACGTTAAAAGATACGATTTTCGTGTTCAAAAATATACTTGGACACAGATATAAAAATGCGGTTAAGTGACTTTTAGTTCATCTTGTTGTAGTATACGTACAGTACAGTACATAAATAGCATAATTAAAATGTTATGGAGCTTATACTATTAAAAAATAGAATTATTATTTAATTAAATTCTCATATAAAAGTGATATTACTTCACTCGATCTTATTGTAAACTAAGCTTTCCTAGAGCTCAACGAAATATACTGTATCTTTACGTATAACTCAATAGAAAATACTCTTATATAGAGCTTTATTAGAGAGATATCCTTATGTATAGTTCAATGAAATTATATAGGCCACCCTTATACAGAGCTCATCGAGATACCTTTACTGTTCTATGGACGATATCAATAGGCAAATCTTAATAAAGGTAATGTTCTGTCTCTATTGATTCGTTTCAAGTTACCGCCCATAAAATGTAATTCTAATTTTATATTATATTTTATTTAAAATTTTTCATAAATTTTTATCGTTATAAAAATGAAACATTGTGCATAATAGCTCGTCAATATGAACATTTTCGTACAGGATCAGTATCATTACAAGGAAAACCCTCTTCCCTATAGGCCTGCGCCCTTCCAAATGGAAAAGCGATGTAGTCAGTAAATAGCAGCTTGTGGGAAGAAAGTCAATTTGTCACAAGGCCCACTCACCAATGACGACAGCATATTTTATTTTACTTTTTTCAAGTGACAACAGCATTATAAAGGGCCTACAGCTTCATTAAAAGGTAAAAATTTCATTCGTTTTCTTTTTACTCTTAAAGGGTTCAATTTGATGCTAAATGATCAGGCATTTAACACCTTTTTATTTCCTCCTCCTTCCTCTTCTACTCGATACAATGTTTATAAATTTTAATAAATTAAAAATGAAGAGGAAAGATTTAAAAGTTAATTGATGCCATTAAGTTAATGATGATGAACCATTAAAAATCTCCGCATTATCATTAAGATGATGATGTAAAGTAGCATTTTATAAAAGAAGCTTTAATAATCATTTAATTCGTAAATCGAAGTATTAAAGTATGAAAATAGAGCGTAAAATAGTTTTCGTGTGAAGACTGTCATACGTTATAAGAAACCTACGAAATTCCTGTTGACAGTTTTATTTTATGAAATTCTATTGTATATAATGGTTAATAACCCTTTAAACTTTCTAAATTTTATAGAAAAGATGTAAAATTATCTTTATCTTTACAAAATTTAAGTATAATAATCGAAAAAAAAAACCATATATAAAATACATAGGACGAATAGGATCTTATATAAACTCTATAGTAGTGTATATACAGTCGACCTCCCCCTATAACACTGTTGATTATTCCGTTTTATACGAATTCCACGTTGTACGAGTCACTTAGATTTTACAAATACGTGTGCCGGGTTGCGAACGGCTCGCGTATTTGTAAAATCTAAGTGACTCGTACAACATGGAATTCATATAAAACGGAATAATCAACAGTGTTATATGGTGGGTCGACTGTATTATAACTCTTATAGTATTTCAATTTACAGTACAATTTTACTGTTAATTTATATTTATAAATGATTTTAGAAACGTTTCTTATACGTTAAAAGATACGATTTTCGTGTTCAAAAATATACTTGGACACAGATATAAAAATGCGGTTAAGTGACTTTTAGTTCATCTTGTTGTAGTATACGTACAGTACAGTACATAAATAGCATAATTAAAATGTTATGGAGCTTATACTATTAAAAAATAGAATTATTATTTAATTAAATTCTCATATAAAAGTGATATTACTTCACTCGATCTTATTGTAAACTAAGCTTTCCTAGAGCTCAACGAAATATACTGTATCTTTACGTATAACTCAATAGAAAATACTCTTATATAGAGCTTTATTAGAGAGATATCCTTATGTATAGTTCAATGAAATTATATAGGCCACCCTTATACAGAGCTCATCGAGATACCTTTACTGTTCTATGGACGATATCAATAGGCAAATCTTAATAAAGGTAATGTTCTGTCTCTATTGATTCGTTTCAAGTTACCGCCCATAAAATGTAATTCTAATTTTATATTATATTTTATTTAAAATTTTTCATAAATTTTTATCGTTATAAAAATGAAACATTGTGCATAATAGCTCGTCAATATGAACATTTTCGTACAGGATCAGTATCATTACAAGGAAAACCCTCTTCCCTATAGGCCTGCGCCCTTCCAAATGGAAAAGCGATGTAGTCAGTAAATAGCAGCTTGTGGGAAGAAAGTCAATTTGTCACAAGGCCCACTCACCAATGACGACAGCATATTTTATTTTACTTTTTTCAAGTGACAACAGCATTATAAAGGGCCTACAGCTTCATTAAAAGGTAAAAATTTCATTCGTTTTCTTTTTACTCTTAAAGGGTTCAATTTGATGCTAAATGATCAGGCATTTAACACCTTTTTATTTCCTCCTCCTTCCTCTTCTACTCGATACAATGTTTATAAATTTTAATAAATTAAAAATGAAGAGGAAAGATTTAAAAGTTAATTGATGCCATTAAGTTAATGATGATGAACCATTAAAAATCTCCGCATTATCATTAAGATGATGATGTAAAGTAGCATTTTATAAAAGAAGCTTTAATAATCATTTAATTCGTAAATCGAAGTATTAAAGTATGAAAATAGAGCGTAAAATAGTTTTCGTGTGAAGACTGTCATACGTTATAAGAAACCTACGAAATTCCTGTTGACAGTTTTATTTTATGAAATTCTATTGTATATAATGGTTAATAACCCTTTAAACTTTCTAAATTTTATAGAAAAGATGTAAAATTATCTTTATCTTTACAAAATTTAAGTATAATAATCGAAAAAAAAAACCATATATAAAATACATAGGACGAATAGGATCTTATATAAACTCTATAGTAGTGTANGGCCTGTCACACTCTCTTAAGAGGCCCGATGTCCACTTGCTGAACCAATCGAAGGATGGCTGATGTCGGTGTTAAATGTTTCATTGGTATCTTCCGTTGCTAAGCAACGCTATCTTGGGACCTCTAAATCCGTTCAAGAAATAGGATCATCTCAATTGGCTTTAAGAAATCTTTGGGGGAAATTATCAACTTTTAAACAAGTTGTTCCTATTTACTATACTTTTAAATTGACCGAATGTCTTTTTTTCTATAACTCTTTGTTAACATCTCGTTTCCGATTTAACCAACTGTAACTTAAAAGAATCCAATAGTAAAAGGGGTTATTAATTGAGTTTTCTGTAACACACCACAGTGCTACATAACTGTGACAAAACACTTGTTGAAATTTCATTCAATTCAACGTTAAAAAAAGCATATTTTTCTTCCTCAAAAACTTAAATTTAATATATTTCAACGAATTAAAAGCTATTTAAATACATTTTAACATTTAATCTATAAGATTATTGCAACAAATATCATCAATCCTCAACCACAAATCTTCATAGAATGTTAATAAATATCCAAACATATTTAAGAGACGAACTTGGAGAAGGATGCTAAAGGAGGATAAAGACGAATAAAAATAAGAAAAAATACGATTGTTTTTTATTATTATTATTATTTAAAGTGATTATTTAGCAATTTTCTAAGATTTACTGTACCTAGAAAAAGTAGTTTTAAGTGTTTTTCCCTACGAAAGAGTTATAGAAGCCCTATACGAATTAAGGAGAGAACAAAGTACATGATGAGGAGGAGGTAGAAGAAGAAGAAGAAGAAGAAGAGGAGGATGAATTTTACTCACCTGAGGCCCACGGGTACCACGGACTTGGCTTCCGCACCGGAAGCAAACTAGAAGGTCGTACCACATTGAGTGGCGTGTCAAAGGTCAACCGCGAGATGGCAGCACGATCATCCACACTCACCGAACTATCGGCCAAGTTCTTTCTTTTTGGTTCCGTTCTATTCAATATATTAATGATAGAAAAAGGATTTTTGGAAGCGGCAACACCGGCCTTGTTGGCTTCTTGATTAACACTCGTTTCGCTTTTACAAATTTGTTCCTCCTTCCTTTCCGACGACATTTTTTTTTTTTTTTTAAATTTCTTTTTTTTTTTTTTTATCGGAAATTCATCGGGATACGACGAAATTATTAACTAGAACACGGGCCTTTAGACGTTCGAGGCCCGAAGCCAGCCATTCTGCTCGAAAGCCCTATCTGAATCTGGCAAGACGCCATAGCGACGTTCCATTGGATGGACGTATACGGGACCTCCCCTGTCTCATTCGTCCAATAGCAGTCGGTCAACTCTCTTCCACTCTTCCAGTTATCTTAATTGAGAACAAATGTATAATAATTGGCAGAAATAAAATCTCTTCCATTATTTAATACTCGCGCCCATCGAGTCGAACCCAATTTGCAATTAGTCTCGACATTTTTTTTTTTTTTTCGATTAACCAATCACTTATCCTTTTTCATATATAATTTTTAGATCTAGTATGCCACAATTTACATTTCCTTATTTTATTTGTTAATTTAAAAAAGAAAAAAAAAGTAAAACGACATTTCCTACACTCGCTTCTTAAGTATCAAACGTGAAGCTTTTTTCGATTAATTTCTCTATAAATTTTCCATTTATAAATTAATTCTAAATACGAGGTTCTCTGCATGAGGTTTCTATTTATTTTTTAAGCTTGATTTATTAAAAATTAAAAGAATTTTTCGGTTAATTCATCCAAAATGCGAGCTACTCTCTATGTGAAGTTTTCATAGAACTAATACCTAGTATGAGGTTTACATTTAGATTAATACTAAATGTGTGGTTATTTTGAATGAAATTTTCGTTAATTAAAACGTTATTTCATTAATTCTTTATTAAAATAAATAAATAAATTATTAAGATTTTTATTATAAATCACCACCAAGTATGAAGATTCTATTAGTGTCAACCGCGAGATGGCATATATTCGTATAATATATTCATAAATATTCATGTAATATAATATTTTCGAGGTATTACAATGAATAGGAATATTTCATATAGTGAATAAAAGCAAGTAAAACGAAGCTTAGTTGATAAAACATAATGTTTTTTTTTTGAAGAAGAAGAAGAAGAAGACACACTTCATCCGTGGGCTAACTGTGTTGACATAACTTTTAGTGTTATAAGGACATTATTACTAGAGAGGTATTGTAATTCTTCCCTTCCATTTTCAGTCGGGACAATGCACTGCTTGATAATGACCGAGGTTTACATAGAACCCATCTCCAACCATTGTGCACCTCCGAGGGTTCCTCTTCAAATGGATAGATTTTACTCGCTCTATTATGTTCTAAACAGCTTATTGCAAACTCAAATAGAACGGAGAAGCTGTTTCTATTCATCCTGCACAACAGATGCTGTTGAATGAAGTAGAGCCTGAAGCCACGATCGCTCTCGCAATATTAAATATGCGGCATAAAGAAATTATTTTCGACTTCACCTTACTCTCTTTCCAATTTGCATTTCAAGTAGCCTTCAGGCGACTGGTCTACAAATTTATATCTTTCAAAGGCTACAAATTATTTCGCTAAAGGAGACCGAAATTGTAGCCCACGAGACTACTTTTTTATATTATTATCTACCAAACAAACATTCTAAGTTGAATGCTTTTACGTGTTAAAAAAAAAATATATAATATATATATATATAATCCTATATATTTGAATTTATTTAGATTTATAGAGACTTTATGAAGATTTTATATAGATTTTTAAAAATTTTAAACCATCCGTTTGTTTGTCGGTCAGTAGATATTTCAAATCCTATTTGGTTACATTCAGAGGAGAGTGATCAAAAGAAAAATCGGCAAAGCGGGTCCGCAGGACTTCTTTTTTTTTTTTTTTCTGGACTGATGGGGTCTGCCACTAAATCCATTTGGGATCGAGGGAGCATGGGCAAGTAATGGACCGTCTGACATTCATTGTGTCATGATCTGACTGCAAATCCCCCAAGATCGTCCATTACCGTCTCATAAATTTCTAGACGGCCTGGTCCGTCCTTCTGTTTTAAATGACTGCTAATGGGACATCGTGTAGCCTTCTATTCCAAATATCTGGGTACGTTTCTCTCTTACATCCACTTCATTTACGTAAATATTTAAAAAAAAATCAATAAAAAGATTAAAAAAATATATTTAATTTAACATAATCTTTATTTATTTTAATGTTAATTAATACTATAATCTATAATATATTTACAATAATTAAAAGCTTAGTATTATTGATTTTTTTTTTAAACATAAAACGTCATTATATATTTATCATTTGAAACGTTTTAAAGAATTGTTAGTCCATAAGTACTTATTAAACAAATAAAAAAAAAAAAAAGAAAGAGAGAAAAATAAGGAAAGAAGAAAGCTTCCATCTACGATCAGTGACGTCAACTATTTGCTTGGTGTTTCGATCATTATGTTTGTCCGTCCAAGTGAAAGTAGTTGCAAAAGATAAAAAACCTCAACGCCTTTTCAAAATCGCGATTTGGAGCTATCCAAACTTTGGTATACGACTATGTATGCGGCCTTCAATAGTTGTCAGTTCCTATTTGATACATGTCGGCCCATCACGGAACGATAAGGTGTAATCCCCCTGTGAGACCAGCCATCGATGGAGTTGGTTCCTTGCTTCAATGCTTCTGACGTCCCTCGAGATCACCAACAGAGCTTCCCCCTAGACTGAAGCGACACTCCGTGAAATTTCCTAATCTGGGATGGAATCAGGATGCGCCATTTTTTTTTTTCTTCCTCTTTCCTTTTTTTTTTTTTCTTTTTTTTTCCTTTAGCTCCTACTACTACTACTTCTACTGCTATCACTTCTCGGTCGTTTCGTATATAAGAGAAGAGCAACATCTTCGTCATTCCTCCATCTCTTCTCTCTCTCTCTTCTTGCAAGTGGCAAGCAAATTTTCTAAATCTGTTTTTCTGCATTTTTTGCTTAAAAAACCAATCTCTACAGCTATTTTCTTTTTCTTTTTTTTCTTTTTTCTAAATCCCGAAGGTGACGAAATGGTTCGTTATGTGGCAACGTGTTGATTTGTCTGTATTCGAGTTCAGTAAGGCTTGAAATCCGAAGTGTGACGAGTGAGAAGTATTTTTTTCCACTCAGATTTGTGGCTTTGAATGTTTCGACAGCAAAAATCCGTCGAGAAACTGTTCGAAATTACTTTAAAGCTAGAAAAAACTTCGATAGTAAAAAAAAAAATCAATCAAAAATTCGTTTGACGTTCTTAGTTTTGGATATTTTTATTTTTCTGTTTAGTCAATTCGGTTTTGTATATTTTTTTTTAAAGGTAAATAAAAACGGATATTTTCTTACTTATCTTATCTCCTCTTCTTCTTCTTCTTTTTCCTTCCTTGTTAAATAACTTGCTTATTTTAACGAGTTATCGTGAATCAAATATAACTTGTCAGCGTGAAAATGTTATATAAAAACATTATCTAAATGATGATATAATTTATTTTTATGATGTATTTAATACCTATTAATTCAAATATACCTTCAAAATATTATATTTAATTATAGTATATAGAGAGTTTGCTTCATCACTACTCCGAATCCACGAAGAGTGCCTAATATAAATTCGATTGGGTCAAGTCCATAATGGGATAATACCTAACACATTAATTAGAAATATAGGAAAAAAAGGGTTTATTTTTATAAAGCCATCAATTGAAGTCTACTTTCTTGGCCCTTTTTGTCGATTATAAGAAGATATGGACACGGAAAGAGGCCCTTTTTACTCTCACAGGGAAAAGAAAAGTTTACGAAAAGAAGCTGTTTATGAGATATTTTAGAAGGTTCTATAAGGTCCAATTTAGTATATATGAAATAATCTTTGGAAAAATATAGTAAAAAAGTCATACATCTGAAGGACTGTTCACTTATATTGTGTGATGTAACCAGTAGACTATAAATGGAAATATAATTAATCCAAGAATGATTTTATCAAATCCTTATAATCGCTAGTCAGATTATAGGAGCCATCTGTCAGAAGTAAGATCACGTGATAACGAGGGCTAATTTAGAGATTAAAAGTTAGGGAAACTAAAGCTTCTTTTCTCTCCGACCCTCTCTATAATGACAGGTATTGTAACCCTCCTAATAGCTATATAATGCCGTAAATTTAATTATAAATAGCTCTTTTATAACATTAGATATATATATATATTGAATTCTTTAATAGAAATCTTCGTGTAATTTCGTTAGATTATATTATTTGATGCTAAGATCATTTCGTCTACAAGATGATATGCGAGTTGATTATCCTATTATTATAGGAAAAAAAAAAAGGTTTATAAGCTTAAATAAAGACTAATTTATATTATATTTAAGCTTTATTACATATCTAATGCCCTAAGTACTAACATATAAAAGGCCCTTCTACTAATAACAAATTTAAAAGCGTGAGGTTCTAAGCTGTCTCGTGTAAATTTTTCATCCCGTTTATCTAATATGTCTTTAGAATTTAGAGTTTATAAGCTAAATAAAATTTATTTAAATTATATTTAGGATGTACAGTACAGTACAATTATTTTAATTACCGTAAATAACTTAAGTTAATAAGTCATTATATACATCTATATATTTTATAAACTCTTAACAATTAAAGATATGCGTGAAGAAATAATTAAACAATTAATATAATTAATAAATCTTACAATTCTTTTATTCTTAAGATAATTATTATTATAATAAGAAGAAGAAAGAAAGGAAAAATGATATAGAAGAGTTATAGAGAATTGGTTTCATTCAAGGATTTATTATTAGGTTACGTAGACATGCGGGCCAGATAATGAGGCGATTATTCGTGTATAATTTTGCAGATGTTTAATATTTGAAGAGCCTTAGAGGGCGATTCTCTACTCCCAACATAAAGGATCTAATCCGCTTGTAGTAACCGGTTATCACTAAGGAGATTTTCACCGAATGCTCCTGAGATTCCAAGAGAAAAAAGGATGATTACGATCCACAGATTCGGCAATCGGCTCTTTCTGAATTATACAGAAGGCGAAAGCTCTGATTGGCAGAAGGACCGCGAAACAAAATTAATGTTCGCATTGTTTATTTAAACGGAACTTTCTCCAAATAAACTTCAACCGGGATTACCTCTAATCTCAACTAGTCTATTTATCTTTTAATATTGCACTTTTTACCATGATTTAACTCTATACAAATATATACATTTTTCTTCTTCTTCTTCTTCTTCTTCTTGCTAACTTAATAATTAATTTTATTATTC